GATTCTGAAGACATTGAATTGCCAAAAAGAAGGTTCAAAATCTAAGGAAATATAGCTGGATTTGACAATTTGCTATGCACTCTTTTTTTAACAAAGCAATGCATTCTATATGCATTTTTGAACACAAGGACTGTCCACAAAAAAATTTTGTTTATCTGTTGTGCATGTTTTCTGACGTGACGTCATGTGGTTAATATTTGGTTGGTCCACATTCATGGTCATGTACTGATAACCTGTGACTGCCCCACTAATCAACTCTGTCAGTGTCATTTGTAACAGATGTTCAAACGTTTTCTGGTCAAATCCGCATAATAATTTAACACACATGACCAAAAAGTTCAGTTAATTTATTTTATTGCTTTCGGATAAAATGCATTATTCACCACGAAAGCAACTTGTTAGTCTTTGAAACACTCTGGGTCAGCTGGCTTCTACCATGGTGAACAAGGCACCACCGACTCACCCATCACTGTTTTGCATATCTGGCTTAATGGGTTCAGCAAAGTGGCTGCATGGCCTTGCATCAATCAGCAGAGGCCTCACAGGTTGAGAGAATGTAATACTTCTTCCAGACCCACACATCTGAAACTGTCTGGAGGGTAATAATTTATGAAACCAGAAGGCCACAAGGACATTACTGTTTAACCACAACCAGTTTGGTGCTAAAAAGGGCCACTTCCCAGCTATTTCGGTAGCAGTTAAAGTTACCACTGGAATTTACAGGCGTTTGCTTACGGATTGGTTTCCTGGGACTGTGTGCATTTCTTGTACACAGAAGGGGCACTGAGATTACAAGCAACTTTCCCTAACTGGGTTGCCGAGCAGTGGTCATGGCATAGTATGCACTGACAGCAACAGCAGTGGAAGCGCTGGGCCCAACGGTCGCCTACGCCGTATGCTCCCGTCGCTCCCGCGGTCGGCCCCGCAAGTCCTCAGCTGGCGAGTCCAGGTCAGCAAGTCCTCAGCTGGCGAGTCCAGGTCAGCACCTAAGAGTACCGAAGCCTTCACCACTACGGTCAAAACGAATCAAGCCACCACATCAGTTGGCAGATCGATGGGGAGGATACCGGTGTGGCGACATGCCCCGCCCTGATTGTCAAAGAGAGACTGAACTTCTATACCACACAATAAAGGCAACTATTTATCGCCACCTGCCAAGAACAAGACATTTAAAGATAAGCCTCCTCAAAACAAAAACAGCCTGAAAATGAAAGGCAACTCAATTTTTGCCAAAAGAGTAGACAAACAGTGCAGGCCAAACTGGAGAATGTGGTAGGGTGTACTGTGGAAACATCCAAAAGTCCCAACCAGCCTCAAACTTTACCCTACCCAAGGAAACACAGCAAACCAACTACATGTATATGCATACACAGTGTAAAAAAGAATTGGCAAATAGAACCTTTATGGGGATTGGTATCCAAAATAATCACATTATGATGTTGGTGGATCACAAGTATTCAAGCAAATGTTCTTTAAAGACATCCACAATGATGTATTGCGCATCGAAAATATGACACATCCTATCTATTACAGTGTATTGACTTCTATGTACATGTAAGTCCGTCAATGGTAAACCGTTAAAGTAGAGCAGTGTTTCAAAGACAGTTAAAGCATGCGCCCAGCAGTTGGAACTTAAATGCATGCAGCAACAAGATGCCGCAGAATTGGTTGCATCCCATTATGTGATGTGAAAACTGCCATCAAAGGTGTACCCTACATGTCAGTGAATGTTTCCATTTTTATTCTATAACTGAAATTGTTAGACACCTGGTAACACTTAATTTCAATAAGATCTATATGGAACAGAGCTGTATTTCTGTATGCCTTTTAAAGATATCCTGTTTTAAGTATATGTGTACATGTACTTCAAGTAAGAATACATACTGCTCATTTCCAATACATGTACTATAAAAATGTAACTTCAACGAAAGTGTACCCTACATGTTAATAAATATTTACCTTTTCTTTGCAAAGAAAGACTGCGATTGTCAGATGATTGACCACACTTAATTTTTAGTAAGGGCTATATGGAATGTCTCAGTTTCTGTCAAAACTCCTCTAAATGATATTCAATTTTGAGCATATTTCAAGAATGCATATATTTGCCACAATCTGTAATACGTCAACAGCCATCAGAAGTTTACCCTACCTTTTAAGAAATATTTCCATTTTTATTCTGTAACTGAAATTGTTGGACCAATCACCAGACTTCGTGTCATTAAGGTTGATATACAATAGTCATTTCTGTGTCAAAA